TTGAAGGATTATTGGTTATGTAAAGACAGTAAGAAAATAAGTAAGGAATCGGTCTCTTCTTGCTACTCTTGGGCATTTAAACAATCAAATACTAAGAACAAAGTCGATTTAACTTTGGTGTGCCTGGTAACCGACTTAACCGGGACTCTGCCATGTTAGAATACTGTGTCAAACCACTTCAGCTGATAGGAGTTTTCGTTAATATCCCTCTCCCCTCAGGTACATCCAAGCATAAATTAAACTGAGGCAGCAACGCAGGGTTTGAAAGCACAAGAAGAGCCTGTGACAGGGGTGACCCAGCTGGTGACTCAGCACGACTTTCCCTGCCTCTTCCCCTGCGAGGGAGGGAGGGCAGGAAATTTCAAAGGAATGTGTTCATACCAAACACGGCTATGAGTTATGATTTAAAGCAAAGTCACATGCCCACAGAGTAAGGCCAGCAGAGTAAACCTGGCAGTGAACCAGCAACACACACAAAACGAATTCCTTCTCCACAAGAAGCTGGACACCGTAACCCAGCATCCTTCAACACCGTTGGTGGCCATCACTGAGCTCTACCATTTAGTCACGCACGGAGGTTGTACCATAACTGTTTGTCATTTAAGTATTCCTACGTTTGACTATAAATAATGTAGATGGCATTTGTGGAACATGATTACTGAACAGGACTTGAAACTTCAAGCCCACACAGTAGCTGTGGGTAAATCAGAAGTTATGTATAACAACACACCCGAGATAGCCTATTTTTGGCAGGGAAAACTACGCTTGCTCTGTCACTAACACAATTCTCTGAAAATAACAAAAGATAAGAGCAACAGCACAGCATTAGATCCCCAGAGGCCTGTCTAACCTGATATCCCCTCCCTGATAGAAGACTGTAGAAAGGGTGCAAGAATGGGACATGCACATAGTAGGTGCGCCCAATAACAAATTCTCAGCCGCTTATTTACAGCACAGATCCGCTGAGCCAAATGTGGTGCCTTCATGTTTATCAAATGATGATGCATTTTTCTGCACATCTCAGCCACCAGCATCTTACTGTGGCAGTTCTGAGCTCACCACCTGGTAATGTGCTGAACACCTGAAAAGAATTCAAGGAGACAAAACAGGTGACAACCACACTCGACTTCTTCATGCACCCATATCACTCACAATTCTAGAGGCTCTCACCATCTCTCTCCTAGCCCCCACCCCACAATCACTCCCCTCTGTGCTTTTTCAAGTGCTGCTGTATTTTCTGAGGCCTGAGGAAGGGACCCAGAGCTGCACAGCACTTGTCACACTGACATCCCACACATACATGCAGCAACATGACAACAATCTCTTTTTGCTGTCTACTACTTCCATAACAATTCCTACCATTTCATTTCTTTGACTGTCTTAACACATTTCCAGATAGCCATCTAACACCAAGACCCTCCTCCTAAGGAGAGGTTTTTGCCTGTCATTTCATTGCCCAGGCACCACAGAATCATAGACTTTTAGGTTGGTAAAGACCCTTAAGGTCATCAAGTCTGACCATTAACCCAACAATGCCAAGGCCACCACTAAACCATGTCCTTAAGCACAACATCTACACATCTTCTAAACACCTCCAGGGATGGGGACTCCATCACTTTCCTGGGCAGCCTGTTCCTGTGCTTGACAACCCTTTCAGTGAAAAAATCTTTCCTCATGTCCAACCTAAATTTCCCTGGCCCTGTCTCAACTTTTACACAGCTTACGACCAAGCGATTGACATTCCTGTTCTATGTCTAATTATTTAGTTTCATTATCATCAGGCTCTTGCCACTTGGCTTTGAGCACGTTAATAGCAGCAGCAAACTTTGCCATCTGATTTTTCACACTTCTCCAGATCATTTATGAGCATTTTGGAGAGCACAAGCCCAACACAGATGCCTCTACTGTGAAAACAAGCAAGCTACTCCTTGCTTGTGGCCAATTACTCTGTCACAGCAGAACCCGCCTTCCCACCCTATGGCCATGAAGCTCTTCCAAAAGCCTTTGCTGAAAAATGTTGCAAGAGGGGGCCTGAAACACCAAGCACACTGCCGCAGTCCTACAGTGGTTCTTATGACATCTATCAAACTGCACTGAAGCCAGCACCTCACTGCTAAGGAGGTCTTAATAACCACATCTAGGTTTCAGCTATTAACCTAAACCAGCTGAATTGTTAATCATCAGTTCTGTCTCCAAGCCAAAATAATTTGCAGTTTTGCACACACACAAAAAAAAAAAAAAGAAATAACAAGGCCTAGAATCAACATGGCAAACTCTTTCAAGTTAAAAACAAAAGAACTTCGCTTTTCTTCCAACATATCTAAAAACAAAACAGTAATTTGGTTAACCACAAGTATCACAGCCTTCCCATGATAAGGCTAGCTTCAAATCACTGAAAAATAATTACTAAGATGGCTTCTGTTGATTTAAAAGTACATAGTGATTTCCATTTTCCTGACTATATTCATTTTGTTGATACATTTTATACAAATAAAAACAAACCAGTCATTTAAATAACTGTTCTTCAGTGAACAGTTTTCTGCCAACTGACATGAAGGGAAAACCACGACACAGACAGGAGAGCTACAAATTCTGTATTCAGTCTGAAGAGCAGAGGTTCCACACATCTGCATTTTCCCCAGAGGCTGGGGAGGAGCTGAGTTTTCACTGACTTGAACAATATTTATTTCATCCAAACAGTGTTCAAGGGGGAAATGCCTGCCTGTCAAGAGTTTCATTGCTACAGTCAGGTCTCAAGCTAATTACTTAATGGGAAGGTATGTTAACAATAACTTTTACCAAATAAAACCTTAACCGATGTATGCTAACAGAGACATTATTTGGCTAGCTACAACTGTTTGAATTACTGATTTTAATCAAATAACTTGAGTTATCATGTGGTTTTCCTCTAATTATTTAGTTTCAGCACTTACCTTTGTTCAAGCTATTCATCTGCAGTTGAGAACTTTGTAATAGGTTGCATAGCTCATTTAAGGGTTGAGCTGTCTTGTGTTTTACCTCTTCACTGACTAAAGGGAAATGAATGTCCCACAAACATTTAACAAGCCTGTCCACTCTACAAGGAAACCTTCTCCTCCCAAACCACCTCTTGCTGCCAAAAAAAGGTTTACTGGATGGTCAAACAAAAACAAGGAATTAATGCCAGTGAAGAACAGCACAGCTCTAGGGCACAGTCAATCCCAAGTCTTCCCTTCCCACACAGTCCCCCATCACTGGTCGTGCAAGATCCCAGTGACACTGGGTTTTGTTCTGTTTTGTTCTTAGAGGTCTTACGTTACCATTTCTACAATTTTCCTTCAAGCTTTTTCTGCTTAGATGTGTTTCAGGGTAGAAACCACATCTTGTACTACTTTTTCTGAACCCCAGTCTTCCTGTACTGATTTTTCCACGCTGTTGTTACCTCCTTTCCAAATACCTACTCATTCTCCTGGGTTTTTTTGTGTAGTTTTGAATTCGCTCCTTTTTTCATCCTGCTTACCCGCACAGTTGGTAACACAAGAGGCATTGTCAAGAGCTGCTTTCTCAAGGAGGAACACACAACTCCACATGCATGCGAGAACTGTAATTTAGGTTCTCCAAACAAAGCCTGTGCTGGAGGTGGGGGGAGAAGGGCCAACACAGGTATAAAATTTCACACCAGTTGTGAGGGGGGCAGGGGAGAGAAGGACGGTCTTTGCCCCTTCAAGAGGAGATCTTCCTCCTGCCTCACAGGAATACAGTGTCCCTCCCCTTGGCCAGCTCAGTTCCTGACCTCCATCCCCAGAGCTTCCCAACCCTATGGCACCTCCAGCGCTCCTCCCTCCTGTTTTCCAGGGGGAATGTGGAAGCCTCTCCCAGCTGCTGAGCTGCTCCATGTAGCACTCCTTGTCAGCTGCCTTTCTGCGGCACATCCATCTGATTCCCAGAGCCAGCTCACGCTGTGCGGCGCGGTGAACAGGAGCAGCCGGCAGGCAGCAGTGGAGGGGACTGCCGAGCAGCTGCTTCCCGCACAGGCCTGGGACACTGCCTGGGACAGCTGTTTTTATGATTTATTAAGCTTATTGTAGCATCGTATCATTATGACTGCATTCCAACAATTGTCTCCAAATATTTATGGGCAGAACTACTTGGCATTAATTACTGACTGGGTTAAAAAAAAGCAATAAAATTAAACCTCTGATACCTTGACCACCTATTCGTTCAGTACCAAAACCTCTGAATGATGACTACTCGAGCCAGAGACAAGCAATAGCAAATGTGAAGATCCCAAAAGACACTTTTTCAGCTGAAGCTTAACATGCTAGCATGTAGTCAAACCTGCTAAGCTGCAGAGGATCAAGCTGTTTTACCACTTTTAGCTTTTAATTGAAAAATGATGTGGAAGCAACACATTTTCATCAAAACCCACCAGACTAGAGACTCAGGAAAATAAAACTTCTATCTATCTGAGATTTCATTTAAGCCTCAAGATTTTATTTCAGACCATGATTCACATCTGCTGTCTTCTCCTTGCATAAACTGTTGCCCCGTCACTTCTCAGTTGCATTACTTAGTGCTGAAATTTTTTCACATGTTAAAATCTCAGCTCTAACTTAAAACCACAAAACATTCCCTTAGGATTTAAAGAAAACCCTCGGTTTGGCCAAAACACACACATTATAATACACACTTCTTTCTCCAAGTTGCGAATACAAAAATTAATAGTTTAAATGACAATTCTCACATATGCTTTCCATTTTCCCCTCAAAGGAACCAGCACAAAAAAACCCCCAACTATTCAGCTTGTCTTGTTGCTGTATCACATTTTGGTCTCTCCATAATGTTATCCTGTAAAAATTACTGTAAGAACATTAGCAAGCTATCTGAACTTCATTTTACCTTCAGCTTCTGTGCACCAAGCAAGCCACATAACCAGTAACAAACAGGGGAGTCAAACAGGAGTATCCTGAAACGCACTTACAGTAATGTAAAACATTTTCTACTCATTGGAAGTAGCTTACCTGAAGGACAGGCACTTTTTGTGGTGTGTTTTGTGGTGACTGGTGAAGCTGTGCCCAAGGCTGATGATGAGGATGTGGGGGTGGTGAAGACTGATGATGCATCCCTGGATGAGGCTGCATGGGAGGACAGGTTGGCATTTGCTGTTGAAAAGACTGCTGTTGACTAGGGAGCTGCTGGCCAGATATTAGTCGCTCTTGTATTGCTTGTGGATCTGCAAGGCCAACACCTGGACAACCATTTGGTCTCATGTGCCCACCCATCTCCCGTGGTGTTGAAGACATACCCATAAACGGACGATTCTGTTGCATGTTTCTGGGGCCCATATTCCTTTGTCCAATTCCCATGGCACCAGGGGGCTGGTGCGACGGCTGAGGATGGGGTATATTTGGATAACTGCCAACTTCCATTGGTATTCCAGCACTACCAGGCCTAACCTGTGGAGGAGGTGTACCTGCTGGATTACTCATTGCTTTCATAGGTGACATGGGAGGTGGAGAGGCATAAGTTCCCTGAGGCTGTGAAGGGTGCATAGTTTGCGTGTTCATTTGGTTAAGTGAGCCACTAGGGTGGATGGGCTGCTGGTGCATTAGTCCTTGACCACTGTTTGATGGAAATCCGACAGCATTTGGGTATCTTGGTACAGATTGATTCATTGGAGTGTTATTTGTAAGGCCTAAATTCTGATTCATCCCTGTATTATTAACTAATCCCTGATTAAGGTTACTGTAAGGATATCGAGAATACTGCCCTGAGTTGTTTATAGTAGGTGAGGGTACCGTCTGGCTCCGAGAACTAAAATTAAGTGTTTGCGGCCTAACAGCACCCTGCTGGGGAGGATTAGGGGAGAATCTGGGACTGTGGGCTACTGATTCTCCATGGAGAGCAGCGGGGGGATGGTGGTGAAATTGCTGGACTGAGTGTCGCAAAGAAGGTGCCATACTGGGATTCTGCTGGGGCACATGAGACAAGTGGCCAGGTCCTGAGGTGGCAATGAAAGGGTTTCCCTGATTGAGGCCTTCTTGGCCTTGAGAAAACTGGTTCATCCTCTGCTGTTGCGGCTGCCCATGCTGCTGCATTGAAAAATCACCACGAGCCATGTAGTTTCCCATCTGCTGCATGTGCTGAGGATGGCCCTGCCCTGGGGGGCCGGAGGGTGCCTGCGGCGGCTGTGTCGGTTGCGGTTGCTGCTGCTGTTGCTGCTGGTATGGTGCTCGTATCTGGTCTGGCACTTGAACTGCCCGTGGGCCCCACATGGAGCCACTGTCTACAAAGGGTTGCCCGTGTCTTTCGTTCTGCATGCTGGGATAGACTCCCATCTGACCACCAGCACCACTGCCGTGAGGAACCTGAGGAACTGGAGGGTTGTGATACTGTGAATGAGGAGATGCTATACCATTCCCAGGGGCATTGCTTATCATCCTGTTCGGCTGATCCATCAGGTGCATTTTCTGCTGTTCATATTGATTATAGTGATCAAAATGGGTCAACTTGGCTTGATTTTGATTTGCAGGGGGATGATGAAGAGATGACTGTAAAGATGGAAATCCTTGATCCATGGGCATTTGCTGCCCCATAGGATTCACTGTATTTTCAGGATACCCACATTCTCCAAGACCTTCCAACCCTTCACTGAAAATATTCCCATCTTCTCCAAACAGACTCATCATTCCTGGATCTGCCATCTTTTTTCAGCACACAGCTCCTCGGAGCTACAACTAGAATGCTAGTCTGTGCTTCACCTCGGCGAGGTGTTTTGTCCTCAAAGCCTTTAATCCTCAACTAATCTCCTTCATGTCATTCCATATTTCCTTAATTCTTTTGGACCACGCAGTGTCAGGCAAAGTCTGGTTACTGCTCCTAGAAGAAGCGGGGGAAGGGAGAGAAAGAGAGGAAGATATTGAAATAAATAACATCAGGCAATATATAAAAACCGTACTTGACTATTTTTTAGACAATGCTAGCTAGTTTCAGCCCCTGAAATACATCTTAAAAATCTATTTCACTTTACGAAGGATTCATTAGCTTTATCAGAAGCTTTATTGTGATAGAGAGTTAGGAAGCAAGCAAAACACTAGCCTTAACCTTAAATTAATCCATTCACTGCACTTCCTAGTGCTCCTTTCTTGGGTGGAACAGAACAAAAGAACACAACATGCAGCAGCAGCAGCTGCCACAGCAGGTAGGCAGATGTATGAATATAGCCAAGCAGCCCATCTGCTGAACTAAAGCCCTGAAAACGCTCCAGTTACCAACAGCATGTCCTTAACCTTATTCCCCTGAGCTGCGTAATCAGATGAGCAAGCAGAAGCACCAAGTCCTACGATGGACTAAAGTTAGTTATACGGACAACAGATTTTTCAGATGCACACAGATGACCCTCTAAAACACACCAAACCCCGACACTGAGCATTTAGGAAATAATTATTTTATTTTTTTTTTAAACATACGATTTATCTCAGTTTAATGAAGTTGTAAACCAAAATAGATGCTGCTGCTTTCCATTTAAGCAAAACTATATGCTCAATTTGTGTAAGTAAACTAAATTCAAAAGCTTCATTCTATCATGGGGGTAGATTTCTCAATCCATATCCTAATTTCTCTCATGATGATAACAGGGAACACTATCACTGGAGTCCATTATTCATCTTCAGGCAATCACGCTACTAACTGCAACTACAGCACTTTAGAAGACCTCATTGAAGTTTTGTTCTCTCCAGAATTGTAATTTTGAAGGAGAATTAGTAATAGTGAAAGAATTTAAATGATAAAATGCTAACCTAACAGGGTACACACTTGGACTTGGGGAAAAAACAAGAAAGCAACACACAGTAAAAGACTAGATTCAAAAAAGTTCCTGTTAAGGTTTTCCCCAGAGAAGACTGGCATGTTCTGAAATGTGTCCCCTATCCTCTCACAACAACAACTCCAAAGATTTTTGTCTGGACATACTTTTTATTAACAGAACTAATCTAATACTAACTAGTCTAATACTAGTTAATGTCTAATGTTAGACAGAACTAGTCTCTTTTCTTCTTAAGATCAGAACTTTAAATGGTCTGTCTTGTATCTCAAAATAAACTTTAAGATAATAGTCAAGGAAGCCCATCCATGTAGCAAATAAAAACTATTTTTGCATCCTTGTCATAATTTAGTCGTGACTGTACTTACAGATACCAACTTTTCCTTAATCGGTGACCAAAGAGAACATTCACAAGTGTGTACTTTCATATCTTGCATTTTGTTGCGGAGGACAGATGCTTTCAGTCACTTTGGGTGCAAAACGCCAGGCTAGACTATTTTAACCGAAGGCAATTTGTCCCAGACAAGTTTTAGGGAAAAATATCAGCACATTTATTACACTTCTTGTAGCCATTGTCAAGAGGACCTTCTACAGCATGAAGCAGAGGGCAAGAGGAAAAGCACAAGCATTTATCACTCCTCTTAAAATAGCATTTGAGTGTCACCTTTAAAACCAGAGTCTTAAATCTCTTCAGCGCTCGGCTGGGGGATATTAACACTTATGTCTCTAAATCACTTGGGGGTAAATTCCTGAGCCATCTTCATATCTCTGATACCTATTTCTTTTTATTTCATTGTCTTTATATTAAGCAGAAGCCATCTGTAATATTAGAACACACCATAAGGAAGACCAACAACAAGGCGAGAAGGAGCGTCTTTTACCAAAACTAACTTTTGGTATCAAGACTGCTCTAGAGCAGACCACTCTGTTGTGGGGATGATCTCTCCAGTGACTTAAAACTGTTCAAGGACTTCTGCCACTGCTACCTCTGCTGAAGCCTGCTGCATCGGGAGCTGGCAAACCCGGACATCAGTGTGTACTGAGACTCTCCATCTAACCAGCCTCTTTGCTTGAAAATGCTGAAAAGCATAGTGCAGACACTGTTACCTCTCAACCACTGATGTAATCTGGGCAGCATCACACCTTAGCCAAGTAGAAGATCTCACCCATCAGTTAGCCTATTTACAGCCACAGAATTATGAACAGGTAGGAATTTTCACACATTTCATTACATAAATCATGCCTTCTGAAAAGAACCATTTCTGAAGACAAGCATGCTCTACTCTTGAAGCATTAATCAATCTTTGCCATAAAATTACCTGAAATCCACAAAGAAGAATTCTCTTTGCTATCTGCTATAAAGAAGCTTAACACAGCATCTCCAGAAACAAGGCTGCAAGCACCAAGCACAGATCTGAATAGTACTGCTTCTTTTACTGGCTTTCAGCTTCTAACAAAATTCAGGCCAGAGTCAGCCACCGGTAACACCAGTAACAGTAGTTAGAACCTGCTACTATTACCATAGAAACAAATTACAATAGAGTAAGGGGTTTGTTTAATTAAGCCCACCTTATTTCTGCCCAGCTGACTCCATCCCAGCTTGCAAGTTTGGGCTAAGGACTGTCCCTCATAATGAAGAAGATGTGCTAGGGAACCTAGCAGTCACCTGGCTTCCTGAGCACATGCTCTTTCAGAAAAAAAGTAACCTCTACGTTTCTGACGCAGTTTGAATGCAAACAAACCCATAATGTAAACTTAGAGTAAAAACACTGTTTGCTGCTGTACATCATTTTAATTCTTCATTTTTATCTGAAGTGTGAAATGACTTCATGTTTGAGCTATCAATGCTACTAAAGCTATTTGGCGTGAAACAAAGCATGAGAACGTGTTCAAGAAGTTATCTCCAAATTGTAGTACTATTTCTCCAGATTTAAGTTTAGCCTTAAATTTAATGACCACAGCCCTTTACAGTCACAGTGCTCTCACCAAATCTTCTATTTTCCCAATTAGAAGTCACATCTCTGATGGGATATATGGCTAACAGCACATAGTGAAGAATTATAGACAGTACACCTACAGACTGGCCCAAATAAATTAACCAATATTTGTACAAGAAAACAGTCAATGCTAGAATTACCTAATAAGCTCTCAACCTTCTATGCTAACAGGATAGATGTCTCCTAAACAGTTGAGCAAGTAATGAGAGTCACAGTCTTATTTTAAGTTGCAGTAATTTCTTTGCTTTTTTCACTACAAGCAATGTATTGTCTCTGCTTAAATCCTGGCTGGTAAAAAAAAAAAAAAAAAAAAAAAAAAGAAAAAAAGTCCCAAACACAAAGCCTCCCCACAAAGGTAGAAGCTGCACTGATCCACAATTCTAGCTAAAAAATTCACTTCCTCATGACAGCAGACAATACTAGCAGCAAGACTGAGCATGAAACAGCTAAAAGTTTGGGGTTTTTTTTATTGAATAGTTTAAAAATACAAAGTTGTTCATCTTCTCTTCTATCACGTAAGTTAAAATCATCAGACATTCATGAAGCAGTGACTACTTTCCAGGTAAAAAAGAGAGGGTATATGAACCCCCAGAAAGGCAGATTGCGGAATATAAGTGTGAATGCATGGAGAGACAGCAAACTTGGGGTTTAATCATCTTAAAGAAACCATACAGATTCTGCAATAAAATTGTGTAACTTTTCTGCTCCTGAATGTGAAAGATTGCACCAAGACTGAAGAGTAAGTGAATATATTTCCTTGTGACTGCCTAGACAATCTGTTTCTGTTCAAAGCAGCACCAGTATGATCCCAACTACCAGTACACAGCCAATTGCTTAACAACCCTGCTGTCTTAATAAACAAAGCTTATGTTTACTCCAGTCTGCAACATTCCAGTCCTAAAAAGCTAGATCTCAAATTTAAGCAGTAGTTAACCATTGCCCAACTTAGTATTTCAGAGCTACATGGACTCAGTAGCCTTGGGCAGCTTCTCACTTTTATGAGTGGAACAAAACTGGCTGCTGCACTCGCATAACCCATCTAGGGCCGCAAACACTAAAACCTGAACTTCATTAATCTTGCTCCCAAAGCTGCAGATCCAGGCAGTCAAGATCAGGAAGCAGCAAGGGCAGCACACAGATGCATGTGCACTCCACACATTCTGCTGTTCAGAAGAACTTCTTGTAAATCAACAGGTTCCTTGATCCAGCTATTGATCCTTCTATACAAGAAATTTAGTAGCATTTCTTGATGACCATGCAGCATGTGAAAACAGATCATTATAAGGCAGCTAATACTGACTGTTTCAAGGTTTGAAGTGAGATGTGTCATGCAGAGTTGATATTTTTACTGCTATCAGTTGACATCTCAGACAAACCTCTCTCAGTACTCATACATGAGCTACTCATGTAACGGAACTATGCACCTAAACCACAATACGACAAACACTGCAAATACCATGCTATTTTGAAGAATTAGGCTAAAAAGACCTCTCACGCTAAAAACCAAAGCCATGCCAAAGGTCATTTTGAGACTGGAGCCTCTAAATGTGGGATTTAACATTAGACTACTAAATCTGCATTTAAACATTGCATATTTAAACTGCTTTTCAGAACTGCTAAGCTCCTGCTGGCTGTTGGGGTAGAAAAATTAAGCATTTGCCACATGGAAGTAGGTGACATGAATGACAACAATTAAAGTCACATTCTTATTTTACAAATAAAGTTGGGAGGAAAAAATCCACCAAAATCTTAACACACATACGTAAAACCCTGACAACATAGAAAAAAAGTCATGACAAGACGTTCAAATTCGGGAAGATAGCTGACAAGACTTGCACCTTTCAGCTCATTTACCTACTGAGCGAACAGCGCTGCTGATGCCAGA